GGTGACCCTCCTCTCTGCGGTGACCCTCCTCTCTGCGTGGGTCAAAGGCTCTCCTGTGCGTGGCGCCCTGCTTCACTGGAGCTGGATTTAAAGTTGGTGAGAGACTCTAGTTGAACTGCTTCCTGTCTCTCACTTCATCATCAATGACATCAGAGCTGTTGAAGTGAACATGGGTAAAAAAACCTTCATCCACCGTCCTGGGTTCGGACCTCGTCCTTCTTGGAGCAGTGGCTGGACGCCAACATGTCAACAAGCGCTTTCGTCTGGAGGGAGAACGTAAAACCAATCACATCAGCCCACATCCCACATCGAGTATTTGTATTTAAATGAACGTATATTTAGTTCTGAGCACTTGCCACGGGAGATTGACGAGGTACAAGAAGAGAAACAAGGCCCCACGTGTCCGTGAGCGAGGCTCAGGGTGACTTCAGGTGAACTGTGCACAAGCAGGAGAGAGCAGTTCAGCACATTGTTAAATTCAGCATGTGAACCGAACAATTAGGACGATTTCTTGTGGATCATCTCCAACAAACACACATTAAAATAACGAGCTCTGCACGTTGAACCTACCGGTAACTCAAAGGCCGAGGTAGCTTCCCAGGTGTGTCCTCTGAAGACGGACGTGCCAAAATCAATGAGTTTGACCCCGAAGGGCTCATTCTGGTGGTTAACCAGCTTTACACCGTCTGAGTGAACTGATCCAGAGTCAGAGGCTGCGAGCGGCTGCAGAGACGGAGGAAACGTTAGTGTTGGTTAGATTCCACTGAGCAGAGAGCAGGCGTGAACACATCAAGAAGACAAACAGTTATATATATATATACGTATACCTGATTTTCTCAGCCACCACTTTATAATGTACTTAGTTACTCCACATTACTGCGTGTTGAGGTTTATCAGACGGAGGGTTGAGATGAGAAAAAGGTTTTTCTTCTTCAGCGTCTTCTTTCCTTTCTGAAGTCGGTAGTGAAGCCTCCAGCAGCAGGTGAAGAAGTATCTGTACTGGTTGTGAAGTATTTGTAGGTAATGAGGTATTTATAGGTTGTAAAGTGATAGAAGTGGCTTAATTAGACCAGATGACAGATTATTATTATTAATAGGATCCATTTCACTACAGTTTCCTCTGTGTCACCAGTTAATCGTCTCAGTTTTTTGTCAGGGTTCTATCTGTTACCAGCAGGGTGGTGGAATAGTGACATTTTATTTTTTCGTGTATTTTCTGACCCCCCCCCTTCACTTCCAGGCATCCAGCCAGACCACCATATTGTCGTCATTAACGAGTTATGCACAGATTTTTCCGCCATATGCTAAATTATTGGGATTACAGGCTCATATGTTTGGTTTGGGATTACTCGGTCTAATCCTGTGTGTGCATGTGCGCGTGTAATTAGGTCGGTTTTATTCCGTTTGGCTCTTTGTCTCTTCACAGTCGCTCTCGTACAGTCGCTCACTGCCCAATAAGGTGAAGTCGTCACTACGCCAGGTATTAATCTGTCCTGCTGAAACGACAGCAGGTCTATAAATGGTCCGTTCTCCTCACACACAGCGAGAAACGTCCTCGTACAGTTTATGTATAAATAAAAGACAACAGGCAGGAAACACAGCAGACCGCAGGGCTGCACATTTGTTGTCCGGTGATTTCATTTGACAGTTTTCTGTCTTTACCCTAAAATAAACAGTGACTCTGAAGGTTTAACACAAAACATTTAAAATGTTTCTGCAATTCACTCCAGGCCAGAAGTATTGAGACAGAGAAGACTTTATTTTTGTCCTTTCGGCTCTGAGCTTCAGCACATTCAGTCGAGAATACAATAAATACATTTGACTGAATACAGACAAAACTCTGCAGGAGATAAATCCAGTTTAACACAAATGATCTGCGTTGATTCAATGGCAGTTTGTTCACGATCAAAGAGGAGCAGCGAAGATCACAGCCATGCAGAATTTTACAAACAAGACTCCACATTCAAACCTGAAGAACTGGACTAATCAATCTGAATAAATAATAAATCGTGACTAATAAATCATTCAGTGATAAGATGAATTCCTCTGGCGGAGGTTCATCCTCCACCAGATTAATAGACGGACGTCTTCTTAGCTCTTTAATCCGTCTACTGCTGCATTTCTGAGAAAACAAAGCTGTGGCATCCAAATCCATTTATGATCAACGATGCAAAACTAAGTCGTGAGAAGAACCAAATATTTACTCATGATCCACATTCACATCTGCACAAGTAACACAACATCAGAATAAACACACACAACCAATTTTCAATTGGAATAGATTTTAACAAATCAATGTTTTTAAGACATTATTGATCAAATCTAAACCCTCGAAAAGAGAAGGGATTTATAAACACGTGCAGTTAAGAACATTCACATGAATTAATGTGGTTGCTCAGGGATTTTACTGTTTATTCTCTGAACACTTAATTTGACCTCAAATCCATCACCAGGGTGGTAATCATGGATTATTATTATTAGTAGTAGTTTTATGACTAAGAACATTTTTTTCTTTCTTTAAAAAACAAAACATTCTTGATTTTCTATTCTAACTTATATTTTTTAGATCATCCTGTAAAAGAAAGTACAGACTGAAAATAAAGATGGACGGCGCGACTCCACTTACTTTAGTTTTACGACAAGGAAGTCCGATATATAACCGATCAGTCTCAGCTGTCAATCATGACGTTTGTTACGTCATCAAACTAATTAAAGCCGAACTTATCAGAAACAAAAACACTTAACCTGCTCAACCCACGTCAGTGTGATAACAACTACCTGAAGGATTTGAGAAAGGATTTATTTTTAGATTATTTTGGTTTGGTCCATGTCCCGTACGCTATCACGGAGGAGGCGGGGTTTACTGCAACCAGGCACCAGGGGGCGATCAACCCTCACCCTTAAAGTCCATGGAGTCAAATCATCACGGATTTATGACCAATCCCACGTTAATAACAACGTTGGTTGAGATCTTATCTTTCACATTTGATTGAGCAGATTTTCCATGTTTAGTGACTAACATACACTTTCTATTTCTCTTGGCTGTAGAATTTTCCCAGGATTCATCATGTTACTGGGGTCGAGAACATCTTTGAGACCCTGCATGACCTGGATCGCCATGGGTCCCATCTCCTCACACAGCAGCGCTCTCTTCCCCAAACCCACTCCATGCTCCCCTGTACATGTCCCGTCCATGGCCAGAGCTCGCCTGGAGGGGAAACAAGCCTCGTTACTTCACTGCACAATGAAACCTGTGAATTCAGGAACGGCCGTCGACTGTGTTCGTGATGTCACTACGTTTTTCATTAAACCAAAGAAAAGGACTAAAGCTGGAGCTGCTATCATCAGACCTCGACTGAGACTAAACAAGGTGCTCCACACGCTTCGCTCTCCAGCTCCTCCCGGTGGATCCTGGGTCATTCCCAGGTCAGGTGGAATAAATAATCCATGCAGAGAGCTCTGCGTCGACATCACCGCAAAGCCTCCGGTGGAAGGTGCCCGGGAGGATCCTCATCAGATGCCTGAAGCACCTGAGCCGACTCCTTTTAAAGTGACGGAGCAGCAGGAGCTTCATCCAGACGTAGGAACTCCTCACACTGACACTATCTGAGGCTGAGCCCTGACGAGGAGGCTCATCTTCAACATTCACTCGTTTCAGACCTAAACGTATATAAATCTCTACGTTACTGAATCCCAAACCCTCGGGACTGAAATGCTCTGTGTGTTTCTGCCAGTGCTTTTCACAGGCGTACGAAACAAACAACACATTTTGGATATATCACATCATCCAACAACCTTTGTGAAAAGACATGAAGAGTGAACGACGGAGGAGAGAGAGGAAAAGGAAGCAGTGGGGCCCGTCTACCTTCCTGCCCTCGGAGCGGAACGTTTACTTAGAACGTTGCACTTGAAGTTTGAGTTTTCACGAGGATCAAGAAATCCTGGTCAACTCCAACTCCGACACTGTTCGTATGAAACTAAAGTAGTCGACAAATGTGAAGCTCGAGTTTCTGCTGGATGATTAGTGAGAGTTGTCAGAGACGTATTACCTGGCCAGTCTCTCAGTGAACAGATGGACCCTGTGCAGCTCCTCCGGGTCGTTGGGGTCGACCACCAGCAGGCAGTGGAAGTTACCGTCGCCCACGTGACCCGCTATGGGACCTGAAGACAGACAACGCTCACTTTAATTACTTAACGAGGTTTACATGAGAAAATAAACGATCAGTGTGAGAGAACTGACGGCCTGAGAGGTTTCTGTCATTGAAGCTGAGCGGACTTCACTGTACGGGAGCACGCTCACCTGTAAGTCTGCTTTCAATCAGGTCCTCTTTCGTCTCCACGAGGATTCGGGGCAGTTGAGATAGAGGGACACACACGTCGGTTGCGTAGGCCTGCACACACACAAACGCACACATTCATCACAGAACTTTCTCAGAGCTAATCTTTCATGTCGTTCTGTCATTTCCAATAGTTTTTAAACTGTATTTGTCTTCGTCAGGTGTGAGACATCGGACATCACTTTACCACAGGCGAAGACGCGGCAGGCTTTGTTTACCTTACAGCCAGGTCTGAGAGCCAGAGCAGCGTACCAGGCGTCATGACGAGCTTTCCACAGACGCTCCCTCGTCTCTGCATCCTGAGCCCACTGAAAATCTGAGCCTCTGTTACTCTGAGTGATTTCCTCTGTGACGACACGAACACACCGGACAAGTCACTGTTATGTTAACGTTAACGTCCATGTACTTTAAATAATGATGGACGACATGACGGCTCCGAAAAGTGAAGCCAAAGTGTCTTGATCGCCCCCTGGTGGCTGACTCTGTGTTAATATTTACGCACCAGTTGTGTTGACTTGTTCCTTCAGGCTTTGCTCAGAACCGTGGAACTCCAGGAACAGCGTTGGTGTCACAGGGTACGAGAGACAACTGAACCTGTTGCATGCATCAATCATCACGTCGTCCAGAAACTCTGGATAAGACACACGCACAATAAGCTTCAGCAATAATCTCCATGCACACCATTACACCTAAGAACGTTCTTCACGTGACCGTCAGGTTCACTGGTCGTGTGAATGCTGACGTAAGCAGATCTTCTCTTCTGCAGTTTGTTGCTTAGTTACAGAAATTTCTGCGCACAAAGGAACAACGATGTTGAAAATTCAGGAGCAGGGACGACTGCTCCTGGACCGAGGAGGAGGAGGTGATACTGACAGTGAGGGTGAGGAGTCACGTCTGATATGAGACAACCAGGAAGCAGAATTTGGCGTCTGCGTCTTCGCTTCCAGAAGCCTCGGTGTCCGCCCGTCCAGACTGTCTCACAGCTCCAGACTTTTCAAACTAAAGCGCAGCAGAGTTTTGAAAACTGCGGAGTGATGTGGACGCCGGGTGTAAACAAAGGAAAACTGATGCGTTTTAAATCTAAAACGAATCAGTGTGGATGATCGGCCAATAACCAACATCGAACGCCACATGCTGACCAGACTGAGCCGAGTCAAACTGGAAATAAGACCGAGGTTCATTCATACCCGACTGTATGAACGCGAGGCATCATGTCCTCACCTATGCGAGCGATGGGCACTCCAGCCTGTAGGACCTGCACAGTGCTGTCCACGGCATCCTGGATGGAGGGAAATGAGCAGACGGCGGACACCACGGACTCTGGGATGCCGTACAGCCGCAGCGTCGTCTTAGTGATGATGCCCAGGGTTCCCTCTGAACCCACAAACAGGTTTGTCAGGTTGTAGCCTGCTGACGTCTTCCTACAGAGAGAAAGTGAAGGAGAACCAGACATGAATGAGGAGGTTTGATGCTGCATTGGACAACGTTGAACATCCGTAGCTCGAACATTTGAATCTGTTCTTCTGTTTCCACATGTTGTACCAGAAAGCTATGACATCAGTAAAAGGTAAAGTTGTCACCTGGGGCGTCGGCCTTTCCCGGCTGTGTGTATGACGGTGCCGTCAGCGAGCACCACCTCCAGGTTTAGAACGTTTTCCCTCATGGTTCCATAACGAACAGCATTCGTCCCAGAAGCACTGGTAGCTGCCATACCACACAGAGACGCATCAGCTCCAGGATCTGAGACAGAAGACAACACATCGTTAGTGTGTCTGACATTATTTAATACATCTACAACAATCCTGTAACACTGAACTGATAAAAATCATTCTCTCTGTACAGTCTTCAGTTTTATCATCATTAAATCCTCACTTTGTTAGGTTGTTATCTTGTCCAATATCGCCCTCTGCTGGAGGTATGAATATAAACAACCTCAACATCAGTTCTAACAAAACAAAGATGTGAGAACTTTATTTCCTGAAAGCCGCGGAACAGAGCAACTGACCGACAGGAAACCAGAGGCCGGTGTCTCTCAGGTAGGCGTTCAGAGCCTTCCGAGTCACACCAGGCTCCACCGTCACGTCAAAGTCCTCCTGGTGAAGATCCAGAACCTGGTTCATGTTCCTCAGACTGAAACACACGCCTCCCTGAGGCAGAAACATGTTCACATACAGTCCAGTACAAGTGTTGTGTCCAAATACACATGATGTTCACCAACATGTCACTTGTATTACTGCTTTTACTTCAAGAGCATCATCTAAAACATGCACACGCCTCTATACCCCACCTTCACTGCACTGACTCCTCCCTCCAGGCCCGTCCCGGTGCCGAAAGGGATGATGGGAAGGCGATGGCGGTGGCAGACTTTAGCCAGGGCACTGACCTCCTCCACACAGCTAGGAAACAGAACAACATCTGGAGGACGACAGCTGAAAAACAGCGATGAAAAATCATTATTTATCGTCATTATTAAGAAACAATGACGACGTGTGAGAAAATGTTTGTGTGCAAATATCATCACTTAAAGATTATTGTGGATGTGCTGATGTGACATGTTCATTTAGTTCTAACTCAGTTATTTCAAGGCCAAGGATCGTCAGCTGAAACTTTAAGGTCTGTTCTCAAACAACTGGTGTCGTGATGTTGGGGGATTGAATAAACGGAAAACACAGTAAAGCCACAACATGATGAGTGTGTGTGTGTGTGTGTGTGTGTGTGTGTGTGT